CCTTGAACAATGGAGTCATAGGCACAAAACATATGAAAGGATATTAATTTTTATATTGGAGAAATAATTTAAAAAAAAAAAATAGTGTAATATAAGGGAAATAAAAAATTAAATTAAAATTGGGGCTCTCTCCATGGTCCTCCATCCGAGAGTTAAATAGAAATATTTTATCTCAAAATATTTAATTCCCTCTTTCAAAAAAATTCTAATTTCTTCTCGAATAAATGTACGAAGAAAGAATATTTAGGGGGTAAGCATAGATCATAGGGTCTGCCTGTGAACGTTAGCGATCCGTGTCGCGACGCGCGTGAACCCCAACCATCTCTATCCCCCTTTAGTCCGAGATTTATCACTTAAGAATGCATAACGATAAGTGTCAGCCGCGATATTATAAAGCGGCGTTTTCTTGGTGGTGCATATTTTGCCGGAAAACGGGAGCATCCGAAATCGGGAACGTCGCGTCGACAGGGGGTGACGGAGAAATAGGTTAGAAAGAGGCAGTTTCGCGCCCGCGGATCTAGATCGGAACGAGAGAAAGAGTAGGAGTACAGCGGTCGCGAACGTGCGGAAGAGAGAGGGTATAAAAAGAAAGGTAGAGTGCGCTGGCTGTGAGAACACGTGGGACAAATAAATATGGTCGACGCGCACGTGCCAAAACGCGAGGAGCGTGGGTGGGATCGTAATTTCGTTCGGCGACGATTTTTCAAAATCAAACGTAACCAAAAGGTCGTACTATAAATTTACCCGGCCTTCTCTATCTGTCCGTGTAGGTACGTTGCGTAACGACACGTAACTCAATGTAATTCAATCGGCCTCGCATTTTTACTCACGTTACCGTCATATATCAGCGGTCAGATCATACATCGACAGAACAGCTCCGATGTGCGCTTTCTCTCTTTTTTTTTTTCACGTACGAAAGGGTAGGGGGATGGGCGATATGTCAGTGACAGATAGAAACGACATCCTCCGTTGGGGAAATTAAAAATATAAAAAACTGTGCACTCTATGCGACGCTGCCACCGACAAACCTATTTTTTAAATTAAATTCTACCGCTCTCACGGTATTGGACGGGCACGTTCGTGCCAGCTTAATAACTCCATGCCGGAGTATTACGAAACGTTGGATTACACTGTGCCGCCATTCGAACCCCCTCCCTCTATGACGTTCGCTGGTGTATCTTGATGCGGGAGTATTGCTTATTGAAAAATCGCTGACTATGATATCGAGCTTTCTATGATAATTTGGTGAGGTTGCTTGGACTTCAGAATATGTAAGATACATTGGGGGCTCCAAATGAGATCATAGAATTGGTAATGTTAGGTTGGGCAGAGTAATATGAGTAACTTAATACTTCATCAGGATTGACTACATTGTTAACGACGATATTTTGAGATGGATATTTGATACTACTCAAACTGTTGCTACATTGTTGTAGTAACAGGCGTTGAGGTAATTTGATATGGCTGTTTGGACGAATCAGATAGATATTTGATACGACTCAAGCTGTTGTTGTTTCTTTTTTTCTGCTGGAAATGAAACAGTAACTCGATGAAGTAATTTGATAGGGTTACTTGAATTACAGAGTAGATATTGAGAGAATGATACTCAACAAACACGAGAGGTCTGAATGAGGGCTGCTGAGATTACCTCATAGTTTCCTTAATACTCTGTTGAGTCCTCTGAAATGGATACTTTTATGAAACACAATTATTTAAAATTTTGGTTAAATGAAAATATTTAAGATGAGTCGTAGAAAGCAGCTGATAAATGTACCGAAAAGCAATATCAATGACTAATTGCCATCTGGAAACTGCATTAGCGGAGCACAATGCCGTTAACGCAATGGCGACACCACTTACTCGCTTGAGAACAAAATGGAGATGGTTAATTGCTTTGGTCTATTACATTCTTCTTTGTTAAATTTAACTCTGCGTTTATATATTAAATTATCATTTACAATACTATTGCTTCTAATTTGCATTTCAAAATTTACATTGCATAAAATAGATAAATATGGCTCATTTTTTCATTACGAAGGCTCAATGTGAATGAGTTAAATTACAATTAGCTACAATCTGTACACTCGTTCGATGGTAAAAACTGAAGGGTTCGCCTTGGGGGTGCTTCAATTATGTACAACTTTTCGCGAGAGTGGCAAGTACCTGGGATAAAGGCGGGAAAAGTACGCGGATTTAAGTGTACCGCAGAATAGAAAAAAGGTGAAATCGGAGTGCGGAATCCATTAGCAAGTCGGGGGAAGCACGTTTTACCATTGACGCCCGATCTTTCATCCCAGAACGAGGAGTGGCGAGCTTTTGTACATGTATGAATGACTAGCTCAGCGAAGTGCTAGTAGAGGACCCATCACCGTTCTTCTTTTTTAATGCGACTGTACTAAATTTTTTCATTTATTTCAAAATTTGCATCCTTCATTCACTGTTCGACACAATCTACAGGGTGTACCATACAGGCGCATCTCGTAGATACATCCAGTAGTCATTTAATCATTTTTAACTCTTTTAACCCTTTGATAGCAATATCTGGATTAATTGAGACCTCAACTTATTAACCCAAAATTAAATTTATGCGAGCAGATAAAATAAAAATTACAAAGCACTTTGCACGAGCCTCAATACCGTACAAAACAGCTGTTTAACATCGCATTATGTTGCAAAGGAACGAACTAACAGGAGAAACAGAAATATTCGTAATGCATCTGATCACGCAATCTAGTCCTTTACTTTTCACCTGCTGGGCGAATTCCAAGAGCACCCAGCGGGTATCTAGTCGTTTTCATCGGCACTTGTGAAATGACAAAAGTAGTAGTATTAGGCTGCTCAGAAAGTTCGTGACCAACTCCAGGTTGCATTGCAAAAAGGCACAAATATTTTTATTTTTAACCATCATAGAATCGTGCAAAATCATTATAGTTTTTAGTGTGCAAATTCGAATTCCAGACCGGGTGGTGTCATAAGACGTCATTCCTCTACATCGTCATTTTGGGGATAAGGTACAGGGTTCCCTGGCCAAAGAGAAACGCTTATAAATTGTAAAATTTTTATTTTATCAGTAAGGTTAACAAATTGCTCGATTCTAGTTATTATTCTTCCATGAATACAGGCTACTTTTGCGAGGCTAGAAAAGGGACAAAGAGCCAAAAAGATGAAGGGTCAGGAAGTAAAAAAGTGAAACGTCGAGAACTCGTACGAGGCTACTCGCTTCGCATTGGTAGCCTGCCAAAGCGGCTAGGCGATTGGTCGTAGTTGTCTGCAAAGTGGATCAGCCGGCCATGCAAAACTCCTCGTCCCTGCAGGAAAAATCGTGAAACGCGTCGGTACAGGGATCGGTTGACCGGTAAATATTGCCCGTTGCCGGTCCGTGGACACTTTTTCTCCGCTGTCTCACCGCGTTTCCCGACTCATAAACAAAGTAATGACACGCCAACGGGGAAACCCAATTCCCGGATTTCGCCCGAGACGGCAAACCGACCGGTGCGCCACACTGTCCGTAAAAGCCGCTGCGACAACAGCCTCTGGTGCGAATGTAAATCACCCCAACGACGACGACAAAGACGACGACGTCTCTCTTTTCTGCGGCTCGTTCTTTCTGCCGTACACCATGTCCGTCCGTTGACTCCTCGCTAAACAACACACCCCCTCGTTGATTCTCCTTCGCCATTACGCTCGTGTGGATAACTTTTCGATCTCCTTTTTACTCGTCGTTGTACCGTACTAACTGATCGTTCTCGGCGAAGGTAGGGTACTTTTGAACTAGAGGAATCGATGGTGGTTCTTTGTTTGGGAAGGTGCTTTGGTTTGGAGTCTAGGAGTACGTGGACCGTATTTATAGGAACTTTAAAAATGTGGTTTTGAACTTATTCAGATTTAACCACTTATCGGTATGTAATTTTTTGCAGCATCTAATTTTACAATGCTATAAAATTGTGTCAAGCATTTAGAATTCATCATCCGTTATTTAAATGTCTAGAATTTTCTTTAAAAATTTACATTCTTCCTTCGGAATTTAATTTGAAATCTGATTATTCCATAAATATAATTTATTCTATCGCATTCGGATTCCAATATGATACGAACGAGAGCTAAACCGAGGAAGTGTTCAAAGATTTATACACAAATTTAATTCACTATTATAAGAAGAGCTGCATTTTAATAGCAGTATCTTGGAATCGATACTCCTATCTCTTCGATTCGAAGATATAGCGTGTCTGTTCTTTCTTTAAATCAATTTACCAAAACGTCTCGTCGCGTCAGCGTTTCCCGGTGATCAGTGACTGATCATTTGATCCTGGGAAGAAAAATTTTCATTTTGTAGAAATAGCATCCAGAAGGGAAGCTTCTCAATATCAAGAGTGAAGATGTTGAAGGTAGAAACTTGTTCGAGATAAAATGTTTCTGAAGATACATACATTGAACCAATTTTGGATTATGGTTTTCCACGCTCAAATTTTGAATCTTCTTTCTTTAATGCTATTAAAACTTTTCATGAAAAGATTGTAACTATCTTTGTTCTATGTATCAGGATCACTTGTTATTCATTCTTGAAATTCATTCATTTTTTCAAAGAACTGTTAAGTTTTGATTAAATGGGAATTTCCCATTTTATCATTTTTAGCTTCGGGTTATATTTATTTTCGAGTAACTTGGGTATTTTAAACATATCCATCATCGTTGCATCGTTTATCTTTCTAAATCGCATCGGTTAGATGCTTCTGATATTTCACGGCAAAGATTAACGTGCTATATTTATTCAAGTGGTGCTCTTAATCAATTTGCACTACTTCTAATTATAAATCCACTTCAGACGAGAATATCTTGACAAAATATGTGAATTAAAAATAGGATTACAAAACTACTCATAAGTAATCATTTCTTAATTTTATTTTTAATTTTAAGATTTATATTTTTCCATCTCAACACTATAAATAATAGCAGACAAAGCAGGACAGCGATTAATGTTCCTGTATTTTACTGTGTTGCAGGAGTCCCAAAGGTCGAGGACGAGCGGGAGGATCGACGAGTACTTGTGATAAGGTGTAGAAATAATTATACCGGACCACGACCGCGATACGTACCATACCATCGAATGTACTTTAAAAATGCCGATCTACGCCTGTGCAACTGTGGGACAAGAACGACACCATGAGCTTAACCAGCATTGGATTCGTCGCCTGTTTCATAGGGCAGATGGTAAACACAGGAAAAAACACAGACTCTCAATGTTTTACCTCTGTGAGATCTCACCAATATGTTCAGCCTTTTAAACCTTACTGTAAATCGCTCACATGAATTCAATTTTTGAAATTTTACATTCTTAATGGGAGGAGAAGTATCAATCGTCCTTATTTTCAATACGAATTCCCCAAGTTTGGATCATATTTTAATAACAACTCTTCATTTTCAATAGACAACAATTTTACAAGAACAAAAATTGCTATAAGTTCCTTACGATTAAGAATTCTTAAACTGTACCGTGTGACGGAGGTCACGTGACAATCGCAAATGCTCAGGTGTGATCGTCGAACGGTAGAGTCGATTTCGTTTCTTTTCTCCTCTGCTCATGCCGTTCTCTATGCTTCCCCTTCGCTCATTTATTTTTCAAAATCCGCGACGAAGGGTAGAGTTCATTAACGGTGTTCAGAAGTACGTTTGCGGGTGGCGTGGGACGTAAGTTACTCGTGAAAGCACGCATGCGCGTTCGTGTGACGCTCGCAACCGCGCATGCGCGCTTGCCGTGTGATCCGCGCATGCGCGCTTATCGCGTGGCTCGCGCATGCGCGCTTGTCGCGTGGCCCGCGCATGCATGCGGCAGTGATCTAGAAATGGCAGACTGCATGGGCCGACGAAAGGACGATGACTCGCAGACAGTTTCGTCGTGCGTACACGATCTCTGTTCCCTGTAAAAGTAACCTCATGTGCTTCGAGACGCACACTATACATATATAAATAAATATAGATATAAATATATTATTATTATTGTATATGTAACTGAAACAATTACGAAGAGAAATTGTGTGCGAATGTCGCTGCAACTTCCACCGCGGTATATATGTATGATATTAAATATATAACAGCGTATATATAACGTATATCATACATGTATATGATATTATACAAGGATAAGGAATATTAAGTATATTCTATAGAATATTGTACGTTCGCTAATGTTATGTATAGTATACAAAGGAGAAATATTATGTGTATAATTATATATATATATATAAACTTAGGCGAATAAACGAGTACATAGGTTATGTATAGAATAAGCATAGGTACAATTTACAGTAAGCAAGCTGCTAGAGGTAGACGTGTAAAAGGAAGAAGTTTTAGTCACATGGTTAAGCCGGAGTTGACACGATGACGAAATGCTCATTCTTCGTGGCTTCGTTTCAAAATCGTCGCGTCGTTTCGTGCCGACACGTTGGTGCTTTTTGATAGGTGAACACGTTTCTTTCTCATCCCTGTGTTTCTTATCGACGAAACGTTAGGATCGATGTGCTAATTTAGGTAAGCAGAGCTAAAGGTGTCGCGAAATATAGATGAAATTATATTCTTAGCGATGCTCGAGGGGAGCTTGAGAAATTAGAGTTTCACGACGATATCGTGAACCGATTAGGAGTCTTTTGGCATCGAAGAGTTTAGGCGAATTTAATAGACCTTAGTTGTGATGATTGCTCGACGATCGAACGATGACAAAGGAAAAATGTTGGTCACTGACCACCGCGGATGGTTCAACAGCTATGAGATTCTTAGTTTCTAAGCTGCGCGCCGGTCATGAGTAGCGTTAACGCGGGAAGAAGTCAATTTTATCGACAAATATGATTAGGTCTAAGGTAACTCAACTGCGCGTACGAATGAAACCGACTCCGTTTGACTGTGAAACACGTTGGTCTTGGAGTTGAACGAGGTGTAATGTCAACGACGATTGACTGACTGCTATCACTTCGAATGTAAGCATACTTAGATCGTTTTAAGTTCTTCTTTATTTACCGTGTAGCGGGATGCCGTTCGGACGGAGAGTAACGCGTTGCTGTCGTCTATTTTTCTTTGTTTTTGTTAAAATTAAAAAGAAAAGTCGTACTGAATCTACTAAAAATGATGTAAACTTCCATATACCTCTATTGGTAATTATCATAAATAAATTAACAACTTTGACATCTTATGATGACATCAGTGCAGAACGTATTAAACATTGATAGACGACGTGATTGCAAGCTCTCCCTTCGAGTACACACTATGTGCTATACATAAAAACTGCCATTTAATAAGTGCAATACATACGTACAAAATAAGCCCGTCAGTCGTCGTTTCGGTTTTTGTCGCGTTCGAGATTCGCAGATGATGTGTTTCCTTTTCCTTGAGCCAAGGAATCGAAAGACGAGCTTTGATGTGCATACGAAGCTGATTGTAAGTGTTCATAAGGTAATTACGGGACAGAGTTTAATCTAGGCGGAAACGACGTGTGTGACTGAGGAACAGTGACTATCAGTGGGAGGAACGCGTGGATTTATCGAGCTTATGATAGTCCAACGTGGAACGAAAGAACTATACTTTTCTACGTTCTCGTTAATATGGAATTCATAGCAGAGTATCTTAACGCTAAAACCTAAACCTAAAATAGTAATATAAATTTTTCATGTTTAACTTTGAATCCTTTAAAGATGAGGTGTAAACAGTGATAGACTGATACTGGGTCATTTTTAATTTATAGCTAAATTTTTATTATACGTGCTTTAGATGAGAATTTTTTAGCAAAATGTAAATATTTTATAGATATATCGTTAAATTACGAAGTATTTGAGGTTATAGCGTTAAGGTGGCTCCCTCTGTGTACACCCTGGTGCAACGTAGCCTGCTCTTGATTAAGAGGAATGGGAGGAGCAAGCATCTCCCACCATAAGTGTTATTTATTCTTGTTTTTCAAGTATGAAGATAGGAGATTCTAGGTTAGATTATTTCATGATTCTCCTTAGGTTCAGGGTCTGATGGGATATCTCCTCCCCCTCGACATTTACCCTTAACCTTTTGTCTCATAATTTTTTAGATAATAACGTCATTTACTATTTCAATAGTAAGAGAAATTAAAAAAACCATTGGTATATTAAGGCAAGAGGTTAACCAAAGCAGCCTACGTTGCCCCCAGATGTACACTTTATGAGGTTATGTGTTCCTTCGTTGAGAACCAACATAATGAATGTTGCGCTTTATGTCCGATCGAGAAATTGAGCTTTTTCGGCGATGAGTGAGCGAGAAAAGCGTTCTTCTTGAAAATGAAACGTTTTCGAATGGTGAAAACTTTGCACACAAAATCAGACGAGAACTACGCGAAATTCTAACTCGTATATCCGTCCACTGAATGTAGAATTTTGGATCGTGGAATGAAACGCGTTGTTGCCTGATAAGACTTTCAGTCAAATCATTGATATTTCATTGATGTTTTAATACTTTATAATTTCCTATACCTCTACCTTCATTTTGAATTTAATTTTCTTCTTAAATGTACATATAAATAATCATAATTTTATTTACATTAAGATATTTGAAATCAGTTAATTAATGAAAGCTGTAACCTAACCTAAAATACGATAATATCTAAGAACATTTTTATTTATACATTAAAAGCAACACAGCAGTTTATTTGTCATTGTTTACAATTTTGCAAGTCGTCTATAAAGACAATCTTTATAGATAAAACGATTTAGGTTAGGTTAGGTTAAGATTTAAGGGTTTTTCATAATGTTATCCATATTTAACCAGTGATTGTTAGGAGGGTATGACATATTTAAGTACATTATGTGACTCTATTTATTAAATATTGCATTTAATTTATTTTATTATAAAAATTATTTAATTTGGAGTCTCTTAATAAATGAAAAGTGGTGAAATAATCAAATGTCTATAAATTATTTTTATTTAAGTGACATACTCGACCTAACGCTCGCTAGGTTGAACAATTTATTTTTTGTTTAAATATTTCAAAATTGCTTTTCTCATTTATATTACATTTTTTAAGTGCATGTTACATCCATGTAGTTATAGGACAAGTGTGAACATTTTGATTATAAATAAAAGAATTAGCACTAGAACAACTAAATTACAAAATTCTTTTTTAAATTAACAAATTTATTAACTTTTAATGATTTCATTAAAATATAAATTGTTTCATTTGCTAATTTATTTTCTATCTTTTATTTATTTATTTCAATTGTTCTAGTGTTAACGAAAGTCTTCACACAGTCCACGTAATTGTTCCATATGATCCAAGGGCGCGAATGATCATCGACGACGTAAACCGCAATGATGCCTCATTAAAGACCCTTAAAAAGAAACTAACTCAATTACTTTCCTCCACAGTGACTCAGTACACGTATGCGAAGCGTTTGCTTAGTGAAATGTCTTAGACAAATATGTTACTACCTATATCAGGCCTGGGCAACCCATCATTGCCGTCAGTTGTACTTCAGCACAGTGGTGGGCGGAGCTTGACAGTGACGTCAGCAGCCAGTCAGTGGAGTGGGGGAACTGTTCACTTTCTTTCCTACTCTTTCAAAATTAATTTTCTTTCTGACATAAGATGTATTTCTACATTTCAAACACAATAATAATTTAAACAAATTTCAATGATTAAACAATTATAAAAATTGCCCCTCGGGGCATCGAGTTGCCCAAGCCTGACACTCATGTACACGGAAATATATACGTAGTCAATGTTAATAGTGCGATGAAGAAAGTATGTGAGAGAGAAAGAGAGGATGATTGAAACTGTATGAGTGTGACAAAGAAGGTGAGGAAAAACAGATTTTAGTGGAACCTAATTTACGCTTAACACGTCCTTTTCGTTGTCTAAGACCCGGAACACTTATCTTTGTTATTTAATTAAGCATTTTACACTGGGCCATATCGTGGTCTGTCCAATAGACGAAGGAAAATTAGGTTGTTCCTTTGTTTGCGAGAATCTGAACAGTCCGGGTCATCATTTTGGTGGTTACAATCGTAAATTGAACGATTTCGAAAGAATCACCTGGTTCATACGAGCATCAACGATTGTAACAATGAATTCCTTGTAACTCTGTAGCGTCGTTATGTTTCTTTTCTTCTTCCTCTATTTCTCTTGGCAGACTAACGCGCGAGTAAGCACAAACGTTTGAAAGAAACTGTATAAGATATGTAGACACATATTTGAAACTTGAGTTATATATTTAGCATGAATACTATTTAATATATGATTCAAGCGTATAATAAACGGGTTGTATAGAAATATTGTTATTAATCGTCTATTTTTTATTGTTCTAAACACCTGCCTGCACCTTTTTCTTTTATTCTACTTTATTGTTAAGTTTTCTGAAGAACTTATTTATAGGGGGAAGGCTAGTATTATGGCCCCATTTGGTAATTTTTATTATATATCATAATAAAGAAATTCCAGTTAAGGGACTTGTCACGGGCATAGCTGTCTATGGTGGGAGGCATTATGCTGTCCTTATTCTTTCTTGTAGAAAGGACAAGGATGGCCCAAAGTTTCCCAGTCCCACCGCATGAGGCCCCCAGCATCAACTCGGATCTGGCGGCCTCAAGCGGAGGAATTGACAAACTGCATGCTCAAACCTTAAAAAGGACATCGGGATAGTCCTGCAGCCAATTCAAAGATTTTGAGGCGAAGAAGCAATGTTTTCTCATGATTCTTTTTTAAAAATATTCTTTGGACAATTATACAGCGCCCTACAGAGCCCGATTTTGAAATTTGGTTTCTAGAACCGTATAGAAGAAATTTTTATACAACTTTTGATGCATTTTAAGCAAACTTTAAACTTTTCTATACATTTAATACATTGTTTTTTAAAAAGGATTTATTAATAATGGCCTCTAATATCTTTAACTAGAATGGGCATCTGTTTAGTATCTTCTCGGTGCACGATCGCTGAAATCGTGCGCGATAAAGACTGAAATGAGAATAAAGTTTCTCGAGCAGATCGACGATTCGGAAAGTTTTCGGGATCGTTTGGAATATTACTGGAATCGCGAAGGTCTTTAAAGGTTTCGAAAGTCGCGAGAAATCTTGAAAGTTTTGAATGTAACTCGGGCGAATCCCGCTTCCTGAGAAATAGAAATCTTATGCTTGTCTACACTCGCCGCTACGTGCACGCGTCATTTTTATTTGTTTCCACAAGCTTTCAATTTTTACTTCCTTCGCATTTCAAATACAATGTTGATAAATGAAAAATAGTTTTCTCATTCCCTATATTTATTTTAATACTTAATTCGTAAGTATTAAAATATTTATTAATAATAAAATTTTCAACTTTGTTTATTTTTATACAGTAATAATATTTTAAAGTCTAAGATTTGCATTAAAGAATCTTATACAAATTATTAACATTCTTGTGCCATTTTTTATATGGTATCTTTGAATGCAATAAAATAACTTAATTTAAAAATTATTGAATATTTTTTATTCGATTTTTCTTTACTTTGCTTTGGTGAAAATTTGAAACCTTCTATATAAGGATGACTCAAAAGTATACGTAAAATTATAGTTGAACCTTGAACTAAAATTCAGGTACATTAGAATTCGACTCACGTGATGCATACATTGAACTCACTTATAAATATTTTACGCTCAAGTAGAGAAAAACAGGATATGAAATAAGTAATAAAAAAAAAGTTGAATAAATTATTAGTTTTATTGGAATGGGTAACCACTGTACCAGAAGTATTTTACGTAAATATGTAATTCTGACTGAAATGATAAAATGGAATGTGACATTGACCCGTGCCTCGAAATTATGGTCTTTTTACGTGACCGAAATTAAGTCACTGCAATTCTATACAAAACTTAAAATATAGCAAAATATATATAGGCATAGGCAGGAATATAATATAGGGTCGATCATACCTAAAGACAAATTTACACTTTGTCATATTCATTTTTGCAGTCAATTTGTTAAAGTGGTTAACCGAAGCAGGAAATAGACACTGGTTTTCTCCTCTACATACGTACATTCCGTCGGAGAATCATTAATCAGTGTCAGAAAGGGATGGTTAGGGGTAGTATGCTGTATTGTGATATCAAACGAAAGGAAGGTTTCCTAGGGTGGAGAGACAGGAAGGAAGACTTAAAATGGAACTCTTAAGTACTACTGTACCTTCTTTCTAGTTTGTGTGCTTTGATAACGTAGCCATTTCTTTATAACACTTTTGCAAATAATATTTTCATACTATTTTAATTTTATTTCTTTACAGAAGTAAAAAATTGTAATTATGGGCATAGGGTAATAAAAAATGATTTATAGAATAATAGAAAAATACATTTTTATTATATTTTGAACAATCAATCTTTTCCAAAATATAAATTTCTATTAATTTAATTATGCCAATTTGAAATTCCAAAATGGTAGGGCCTATCATTACAAAATGGCACCCTCGTTCATACAACTTGTTAATTAAATTTTTACTTCTTCTCTGAAACTCCCTCGAAGTTTTTTCATTCTCTCTGTCAAGTATTCAGAAAAGATCTTGCTACAATCTTCACCTCCAGCGAGTGGTACGGTCCGAAGAGGAAAATTGCATCGTGTTTGGCCGCAGACCGAGCTTTATTCTAATCTGGTACGCGCGATCCTCTTCTACGGGAAAACAATTAAAGGCCACCGTCTAGCATCCAGCCGAGTTTTCTCGTTTTTCACCACCATCCAGCTTCGTATCGTCCAGGAACGAAATTAACTATTACCCTAGTAACTGATGACACGTTGCCTCGAACATCGCGACTCTCTTTGAGGGACCATTTAATTGTTCTCTGTTTCCATTATCATCTGCTCCTCCAATTTACCCAGCGACATTTTTATACCACCATAGATTGGAACAATTAATTTTTACGTACATCAAATTATATTTTTGTATAAATAATTACATAATATTTTATAAAGAATTATTGAGTCCAATGCAATTATCTATTTAATTCTGTAGCCATAAATTAAAAATCAGACAGACAAACAGGTAGTCGAAGTGAAAAGGTAAAAATATTTTCAGAAGGGGATGGAAAACAATTAGAACGTAAGTTACGAGCAGTATAAACACCTGTAAAGTGTGTAACGACAGCAAAACAGAAAGGTGAGGAAATATTTTGATGGAGGAACGAAAGCGACCAAATACTTGAAAAAATGTATCTCATCTTGACTTGAGTTGAAAGTATCAATATGCATAAGGGTCTAAAGGGGTTGAACAATCGAAACTCTGACTACTTCGTTCACGAGTCATAACGAGCTATGAATTATGAATTGGTCCGACCAACGATCGTCTGTTATCGCGATGTCTATACTTACGATTGTTCAACAGACAGCATTCATTTGGAAATTAGCAAACATTGTTTCTATTACGGTTGAAGGAAGTGCAATAATGAAAGAGGTAGCTTCACTATTTGAAAATTTAAATGAAATAAAAAACAAAGGACCATTTTAAAGTGGCATAAGTGGGTAGGGACCAGAATAAGTCCAGTTGTCCATCTTTAATCTAGTATTTGTTAATTTAAAGTACATTTTAGAAATAAAACTCCTTCGAACTTTAATTTAAGTCTGTATTTCACATTATTTTCATTTTATAAATTTTATTGTTTCTTGAAAAATTACTCTCTCAATATATGAAATTCTTTTGCTTAAAAGTTATACATTTTTTTGTTTACTTATTAACATAGGGCAAATATTGTGCATCGATATGCTTTAAATAATCCGCCATAAGAAAATACCAGCTGCGCTATCTAGCAGCATGCAATAGAATAAAGTATGTACACCTTTTAGCAAGGAAATCAATATTTGTCACAGTTGATAATGCTTCTTTATATCTCATGTTTCGGACATTCTAGCGCACTATGCCATTTCCTCGTCACACCCTGTTGTACCCACTGAATGGAACTTTATATCACAGTGCTTTTAGTGGCAAGAATTAAAATTATAAGTGATAATAGTCAGTGCAGCGACTACAGCTGCAAAAGACACCCCGAGATAAGATTAAGTCTGCATGCAGAGCACAGTCGGTATGTCTGTTTTACCAGTCCCTTTTTTACCGCATCTCTTTTGATTCTATTTTATATTACAATTGTTTGATGAACTTGTACACTTCGTGTACCTTATTAAATAAATTATTTTAAAAAAGCAACTCTTGTATCCTTTCAACCCTTATAATAAATATATTATACATATAATAATATATTATAAATAATATACTTATGGCCACTGCTTCGAGTAAAGGTAAGTAAAGGTAAGTAAAGGTAAGTAAAGTAAAGTAAATTTAAATTTAAATTTGTACAAATTTAGTTCCTTTTTTCTCCACCAGAGGGCGCTTAATCGACGTTCGAAATTTAGTTCACATTTTTGCCGCTAGAGGGCCAAAATTGGTGCAAGGTTTAGTTCCTTTTTCCAAAACCAGATGGCGCTGATTCGACATCGAAAATTTAGTTCACATTTTTGCCGCTAGAGGGCCAAAATTGATGCAAGGTTTAGTTCCTTTTTCCGAAACCAGATGGCGCTGATTCGACATCGAAAATTTAGTTCACATTTTTGCCGCTAGAGGACCAAAATTGGTGCAAGGTTTAGTTCCTTTTTCCGAAACCAGATGGCGCTGATTCGACATCGAAAATTTAGTTCATATTTTTGCCGCTAGAGGGCCAAAATTTTTGTAAAATTAGTTCGGATGTAAAGGATACAAGGATGTAAAGGATACAAGGATGTAAATGATGCAAGGATGTAAAGGATGCAAAGATGTAAAGGATACAAGGATGTAAAGGATGCAAGGATGTAAAGGATGCAAAGATGTCAAGGATACAAGGATGTAAAGGATGCAAGGATATAAGGAAATCAGTGATTGCAGATTATTTTTTTTTTTTTTTTTGTTTAACGTGGGGAAATCTTGCATAAGACCCCCCACCGTCCCCTGGGGGAGGGCGGCGGGGGAGTGTCAGATTCCTACTGACTAAAACCCCACGGCGACCGACACTGGCGCTAATGGAGGGCTCTGGGATTTTATATATGTTATCCTGAAGCCCCCCACGCCTGGCACACACGTGCCCATATCGGGGAAGATCCAAATTGAGATCTCCCCCTGTTGCCTACCTGTGACCGACACCGGGGGTCACACCCGGTACCGGCTTCTCCTCGAGCCGCGTACTTACAAAGGCACCCGGAGCCCCCACTCCGGATGCCAACAGCCCTGACAGCCCCACCTGTTTTGGTAGTGAAACCGTCATATCTAGTGTTCATTATAATTTATATTACTACAAATCTCTATTTGTAGTCACTGTGTAGTTTCCAAAATCACCGTGTTGAATCATAAACTGCGCAACAAAACGAGTGGAAAAAAGAAATTCCTACCTCAATCGGTATTTCAGAACTTATGATGATGGCGCTTCTAGCGGCCCACAGTCTCGTATCGATATCCTGGTAGCCACTGATGGTACAGTTTCCTTCCCAATATCAACTGCTGATAAAAACTAAATTTCTCGAACGAAACGAATGATGTCACTGATCGAGAGTCACCAGGCGCAGGAGCCAAAAGTGGATTGTCCTACGGGTTGCCAGTCGCCAGGAGTTTAGTCGGTGCCGGTCCCGAAACGCGTTCACCTCTGGACATTCTGCGGGGCACGATTTTTAAAATGGCAACAGACATATACATTTGATAGGGTAGTTGATCCGAGGGAAAATTAACTCGATTGAAACGAAACGATCACAGCATAATGACCGATTGACGAGATGCACACGGTATTAACGGGGTAGCATAGGGGTCGGTCGTGTTACCAGTTGATATCTCGATATCCTAAACTAGCTGGGGGTGTGATATCACTTTACGTTCGATTTGTTAAGCGGTCGTTTGCTTTTCGCGCGAAATATACGTGCTGTGTGGGAAATTACCGAATCCCGATGACACGCCCCTGACCAATGGTCCCCCAGGATAAAGGTAAGCGTATGTTTGTATCGGTTCATCCCACTCTTTTAAACGATACTGAAATGGGCTCGCGTTCGTGAAATTCCACGCTGGACGCCGAGAGTTCTTCCTGTTGGACGTAATTCGGAGTTCATTTTGCAAAAGGCATGCGAATGAATCGATGGCGTAGGAGAAAAGTATAGTAACAAATTATCCATACTTTTTGGTATTCATAAGATATAAGCTTTTCGCAGGGCAAAGTGATCAATTCTTATTTCTTTTAATTTTAATGACAATGCACTTGATTGATGCTTAATTAATGTTTTATCAATTTCTCTACTTTTTAGAAATTGTTACATGCAATTTTATGAAAATTAGTGGAATTTTTGTATGCAATTATAAAGAGTATGTTCTAAGTTTGAGCTCCAAATTAATGTGCCATAAGTGCCATTTTACCTCGACTATGAAATCCTGTTTGATCTTCCATATTTTTAAATATGACATAACCTAATAAATTATTTTAAGTTAAGTTTATTTAAATTACAGATAAATTGTGCAATTTCGAAGACAGTAATGGATATTGTAAAGTATTCATCCGTGTATTCTTGCAACATAATGAGTACTCGATGTGCAACATATACGAGACACATTATTAACTATTCAGAAAAATGAAAAGGCATCGTTGAATATCGGGGACGATAAACTGAAAAGCTATTCTTCCCTCTTTTCTATTCGCTAGATTACTGGATATGTTGGCAGTATGCATTTTTTCAAGCATACGTGAGCAATTTGTAGGTTCCTGCTTTTAAAAATATTATATTGTAAAATTAATATAATTTCATATATTATACCATTATTCTTTATTTATTTTATTTTAAATATATTTTCATATCAACCAATAACTATTGAAAAATGGAACCAAAGAAGTGTCTTTGACTCTCAATAAGATCGCCTTTTGTGGGTTTGTACTGGAAATTTTGGAACATATAATCACCAACTGAATTTCCAATTCATCCCTTTTCACCCTACACATCCCTTTCACGCAAGCAGGTGGCCAGGTGCAATTTAAATCTATTTTGGCATCGTCAGGTTGATCGAGTTCGTTGGCGTGTACCACGTTTCAAACGATGAAATTATTGGATTTGCCCGGAAATTGTGAAATTCCCGAGGATCCTACCTGATCGCGTCTACCCATCGCTTTACGCCTTGTTTTCAATGGACGCGCCTCGAAACTCGGATTGCCGCACGAAAATTCGTCGCCCTTTCCCTCGATCCCGCTGATTGCGTCGCTTTGCCTCCCTTTAAATGACCCGATACACCCCTTTTGCGACCCGTAGCTGACGTGGCTTAGCTGAAAACGAATCGACACAGCTTTTTCATCGTGGACGTAAAGAGATTGGAGAAAAACGTTAACGAGGAGAGGATTGTCTGATGACGTCCACCATTGTTGCTTTCTTTCTATTTTTAACCTGAATGATTGAACTATGGTGAATTATAAATTTCTTATTTTAATTCTGCTGTGACTTATTTACAATGGATATACCATCTTTTCGAATCCTTCGTCGTTTTTTATATGATCTCCATTCGAGTTAGCCACAACAAATTTGTGTAAACATCAAGGCATCATCTCATTGGGGTTACACGTGCAGAATGAAATTCTCTATTCCTCGAGATTTCACGGGGTTCGTGCATCTCGAGAAAAATAGCTCACGCATGGCACGTATTCTTTTTGAGACGAGTACTGATGGCATTCGTGTCACGTTCGACCTATGGATGATAAATGTTGTTAAAAAGATCGAACGAACCTATGTTATTCTTTAACCTGATGCTTTTCTTTTCGTCTCCTCGTATTTGATTTCCAGCGAGGTGAATAAATGTAACGAAATTATGTAGATGGAGGGCATAAGTTCCCAGCAAATATTAGTCAAATGCAGGACTAATTTTGTTTTGGTGAAAAGTTGATCCGATGAAAAGTTTCTCTTAATAATTATAATTAAAAATTTTTTAAATTTTGTATATATGTACAGTGCTGTAAATGGTGGCTTCCCTCGGGGAAAATGACGATATTGGGAGAGAAGGCTAAAATGATCATAAATAACTTTGATTTTTCAGGATCAAAGTGATTTTAACCCCTTAAGCCGAACCGATTTAAGCTCATTTGGTTGGAATAGGGTTCACAAAGCTTTGGGAACTTAAAAATAGTATTGCCTTTTCTCTTTTACGAGTTGTGTTATCCAGGGTATCGAATTTGGATGGGCATTAAACGGAAGTTAGAGTTAGCAGCGTTGCGTTTCACTATCCCGTTTGGTCGCCTGCAGTAATGGTAACTTTTAAATTTCACCCTCCAAGGAACACGCTATGCTCCTCTCCGTTTATTGGGTTTTTCTCTATTTTTAATCGAGCTCCCACGCCGCAGGAAAAAAAACGTTAACATTGATCGGGTAAACCAATCGGAAATAAATACTGGTTTATTTTAAAAATTTACCCAATTGTTTGACAGTGTTTTGAAATAATCTTAATAATTGCAAAGCTTTGTACAAAATTTTCAAACGTTTTATATGATAATTGAATTCCGTGCAAATATAAATTAATTTATATTTTTAATTGCAATTTCTTCAAATTGATAATTACAATTTAGATAATGATAATTCTTCTATGTATTTCACAATGGTATAAATAAAATTTTGGTGTTTAAACAAACCCTCTCTGAATGTAATTAATTATGCTTGTAATTCAGTAATTACACTAATTCGTTTGCGATGCGTAAGGATGAAAGTGTTCGAATGGAAACGATCTCCTGTTTCGATAAACATACATTACATTTCCATGTATAATCGTGTATCAGTTGATGCAGTTACGGCGAACACGTAATGGAGCGTAGCGAGCATTGTAAAGCGTTAATTGCCCTTTAATTTGGTATAACGCGGAATCTTTACAGCGAAAAAACCAGATTACTGTGGTTTATCACGAAAAAAAGATCAGCAAGCAGCGATCAGGAAGATAAATTTTTATAACTACCCAAATAGAAAAACAATCATTAATTTACAATTAGTATCAGATTTCTTTGTAGAACTACCTTGTCTGAAAATCACAATAAAAAGATTTTAATATATTATAATTTTGTATTTCATATTTTCATTTCCTAAATTTTACCTTATTCCAAATACTCGTTCCTCCCCCCAACCCCCTCAATGATGCCTAAAATTTTATATAATCAACAATTAAAAGAAAATAGAGAGCCCAATTTACCACTTTAAAAACTTACATTTGAAAATTAACTAATCATATCCTCAGTAACTACAGTTTTACTATGTCTGACTATACGTAATCTTATCTACTGTAACAGTAGAGTAACTAAATAAGATAAGCCTAAGTTGCACGAGACTGTACATGCACGTACAATGCATTAAGCATCGCAAACAACTCACTGCTTTTGTACGTTTGTATTACAAGGGTTGTTTGAGATGCAGGTGGTGCAATATAACAATGTCTTCCTAAGCCATCTAAAACGACAGTACTTGTTTGTTTAGGTTACAATGTATCACATTACTCTAAAAGATTGCCATGATGTTCGTCCTTGATGTAAAAGTCCAGATCCCATCCTTGCTACATCTGTCTTCGTCTTCCATGCACTTTTTATCCTAGAAGTATGCTTTTTGTGTCTGTATACATCTTCCAACTTCGTTGCCTCACGTCTGATGTTTTTATCATGGCTGCCTTCTGTCTCCTCTCATTAGATACTTTCCTAAAATCTTTTTATAGTCATGCCCTAGTAATTGCTTTGAAATTAATTTGTCAACGATTGGTGGGTGCTTTGGTAAATTTTACCCTTGATGACAAAAGTTACAGGTTTCTTGTACTACGAAAAAGTTTCAGAAAAATAGATTAATAAATTGCGAGGTGTCTTTGGTTTCCAATAAAAGGAAATAAAATTGGTTGGTGATTCAATTACAGCGCACCTGTTAAAAAAAGTTGGGTAAGAATGGAAAAACCAGATAATTAGAAAACGGACAGAATTTTCCAGGGGATATAACACAAGGTCTTTCATTAAGCGGAATTTTTTCTGGAGTTGTGCCTTTCATTTATCAGAGCGGATATTGTTTTATTTATTAAATTTCTCGTTACTGAAAATGAAATTTTTTTACTACAAAGGAATATTATTATTCAAAAAATTATACAGATTATTTATCAATTTTATTTTCTAGCAAAAATACTGATTAAATAATTATATGCAATTTTATATCAATTTTATCATACCGTTTCCATCAACTGTACTTTAATGCAAACATTATTCCGTTCAATTTATTATTGACGCAAAATTCGTGAAATGCAAGAGAATATAGCTTTTTCCTTGAAACGTGTCGATCAACACCTTCCGATGCTTCGGACTTTCCGATTTACAGGCCCGTAGTAAGTAATAATTTCCGGCACCGGTGATTGATAATGACGCACACTGTATCGATTTCCAATCGGGGCGTTCGAACCCCCAGACGCTTACAATTTCAGCATGTAACGCTTCGACTGAAACACCCGGTACATTACAAACAAATTTTACTATAATATTAAAAATGATGGAATTATTAGAAAATTTTGACCTAGTCCCCCTATATCTGATCTGCATTTTTTTTATTTTTTACCATTTAAAAATATCAATTTCTATTTATCTGTTCACAATTTTAAAGATTATTTTTTTGAAATATATAAATAAATAAACTATAACTGAATTATTAATAAAGTTACCTGTACCTACAGAAACAACATGAACGTTCGTCGTGGATGCATACTAATCGAATGCACTTTGAAATTGAATTTCAGGCAGGAGAGAAGGAAAGTGCATCTCATCTTAAAGGACAGAAGGAAAAAATAATATGGGAAAAGGCGACAAGAGGGGCATCGCACAGCGCAGCGATGGTGAGTGTTTGTTTAATGCTAATTGAACAATGTGCTGAGAGGTGCAATTGTTGCACTTTCACAATTGCAATTGTCTGGAACATTTCACGTTAATTCTCGTGGTTTGAAGGTACCCTATTGTTAAGAAAATTAGCATTTTCTTCTTTCCTATTTTTATTTTTAAATATTAAGATCTCTTGTTAACATGTTTTAAAAATAATTTATCTGATTTTTAAAATATTATTAAATTCAATTTCAAAGTACAATACGTTGAATGAGACAATTTTTCTCTATTAGAAAAATTTTTTTCCAGTCGAATATTTTCTACCAGAAATTGGTTGAGATTCAAGTTTTCGAAAGCCCTTTCAAAAACTTTTCCCCGGTACGTTCGCTCCGAAATTGCTTGAAAAGTCGAATTCTTCCTTTGAAATTCACCCAAGATTAAGTTCCCCAAAGTTTTGTAAATTTTCGCAATTTCATACTCGCCTGATGGCGGAGATTACACAGCCCCGGAAGCGAGTGCACTTTCGTGTTCCGGCATTCTGTGACACGGGCTCAAGATGATGCAGCTCGTTCGATGAGCTGTTTTCTTTCATAAAGAAGAGCCGACCAAATCTTATGATTATACCTTTTGAATACATGGATCGATCAAATTTAAATAAGACAGCTAAGACCTTTATTCAAATTTTAAATTATTCTTCATTTATCTTTTCTATCAATTTGATATACTAAAACAAAGTTATATCATTTTCTAAGACACCATAAATTTTATTTTTCTTAATTTTCAATAGGTCTTCAATTTTTTGAACGAATCAATACTTTGTTTTAAAATGCAAACGAGACAAAGTTGTACAAAAGACGATGAGAATACAAACAAATGCGGAGGAATCACAGTTGCACCAGCTCGCCGTTGCATTCATTAAAAGAGATAACATCGCGTTCAAAGTACAACAAATGTTTCTGTTACCGTTGAAAAGGGAACTTTTGCAATTGTTTCGAACTGTAGCTGTGATTTCGTTGCCATCTAGTTATTTCTCTTCGCTGCTCTATATTTATACAATTAAATGTCCACCGATTGAATAAAGGATCCTTTGACTATGGAAAATGTGACGAGATAATAATGATTAGCATTTGAACAGATCTCTATTTTAAATTTCTTTGGAGCTTTAATTTTAATATGTTAACTTTCATAGAGAAATAAATTTAGAGATTTTTAGAAAAATAGAATTAGCAGAAGGTATCTGAATTAAAAAAGATACAAAGTCTGAAGGGTGTGTTTTCAGGGGTGAAACTGGCCAAATGCAGCTTAGGCTAAAAGTGAAATGAAGCATGATAATTAGCATTCAAGAATCTCTTCCTTTGTCCCTAGCCCCGTCGCAAATGTAAATGCTAGAAACTTATCCTGGCCTTATCCTTCAGCTTTTGAGTGGAAGGCAAGAGAAAATCTTAATCCAATAAAGGAACAGCTTATGCTCCATAGACACTCAACCACTCCAGCCCTACTGGACCATACTACTTACTACTGCCTTTACGAATTTCTGTTTCTACTTACTTCGTTCCCTTTTAATTTCTCTAATAATTAACATCCTGGTTTGTACCATTGTTTTTTTCTGGTTTTATCAGCAAATAAAAAGGCGTCTTAATAACAGAGGCCTGTAGATTGCCAGGGAAATAAGCGGAAGGACAGGCCAGCCATGGTAAACAAGGAGTCATAACGGTACTGAACAAACTCAAAGCGAGGTAAATGAAGACACGCTTAAAGAGTATTAGCATAACTTTTGTTAAACTTCATTAAGACTTCAGGAGAAGACTCCTGCTGGAATCCAAGCGCGGTGAATTAGTTAACGCAAGCAACCATGTAACGAATGTTGTTATGGCTTGAGGGTAACTTAACTCTGTTTACATTTTATCTATTGTTCCATAGGATAAAGGGTTAAAAAGAAGTATTAATTATAAACAAATTAAAATATCTTAGAAATTACTGAGTCTCTTGATATACTTGGTCACGCTGCATATTATTTAATTATGGATAAATGGGTTTAAATGACCGCGTTCAAGAATATTCATGGCACCCTTCATTTCCCCACAGAAGAATCGAGAAACAATAAAAGCTTACAAAAGGTGAACGTTCGAAAGCGCGAAACGAAGCGGTTTACCATTGTCTTCTAGGGAGGAAACGGAAAAGGGATGAAGTAGAGTGGAAAGGTGGGTGAGAATAGTTGCAGCCTGAACGTGAGGTAAAAGAGGGTGAAAAGAAAACGATGATTGCTTGAATTCTTCGAATAGAAGGTGTCTTTCCTTTTGTCGAAGACAGACATATTTTGTTTCAGGTTATTGTTGGAATTTCCTTGATATCAAATTTAAAAAAACATACATGAAAACTTTTAGCAGGGAATTTACCATAATAATAATTTATCAATTTTGCCTACTGCAATTTTTGTTTATCTTCCATCATTTTGACCCAGTCTTATGAAATATCCTGTAGGCAATTGTATTTGTTGTCTTGCAAGGAATGCGTACCCTTTTACTCTGGAAGTCATCCATTTTCTTGTAATTTAATTAATTTCCCAGGACCTCTTTTCCGGCTGGCAATTTCATTTCTTGCACGGCTACGAAACGGTACGAAAAGTGTAGAAATATGGCAAGACGCAGGCGGAGAAAAATACAATTGGGGGTATATAAGGACGCAGACTGCAGAGTCATGAATAAAATTCAAAGGGAACACGAAAAGTAGAGTAAGTAAAGGTTAGGCTGTGAGCGTGGGAGGAAGTTAGAGGTGCACCAAGGATGAAGCTAAATTCACGTTGAGTGTATCAGGACAGACAGGAAAGGAAAGACAATAGCCTTGGGGAAGGTTGGTGCAGACGGTGCCTAGACGCACCTGCCTCTTGTCGTCGATCCGTTATTGGGATTTCTGCACGTGCGAAACCCCGAGAGAACGCCTCTTCGGCTCCTGCCCTCCCTCAGTTATGTGAAATTCGACGAGAAGTAAATTTAATCACGCTGCATCACGCGTTTTAACTCTAAATTGCCATGGCTCCTATATGTACGTATGTACAGTCTCGTGCAACTTAGGCTTCCCTTGGTTAAACGGGAGTGAGGGAGATGGAATGTTGCACCACTTATCTTATTTACCTGTATTCATCTATGGAGGCGAGAGGTTCTATATTAAGCTCTCCTTAATGTCTACATAGGTCCTAACTTGATTGTCTACAGGTTCCCTTTAGGATCTTCTTGGGATATTCCAAGGTTCTTCATTTATCCTCTCTAGGCTCTCCTTAGGATTTCCCTAGATTCCCCATAAGCGCCATTTTGGTTGTCCCTAGGTTCCCCATTGGCTCTTCTTAAGACCTCCCTAGGATCTCCACTGGCCCTGCCTTGGCTCTACTAAAGCTCTCCCTAGATTGCCTCTAGGCTCTCTTTGCGATTTCCCTATGTTCTCCATCGACATTCCCCTAGACTGTCCAGTAGGGTTCCCAGGGAAAATGACGATGTAAAAGGAAACCTTTCAAAGCGAGTTCATTTCGTAATTAATAAAATAGACGATCTATGGCATTTTATATTTACATCATCTTTTTACATCTACAGGATGAATATACGCTACCAAAATTTTACCACCTGTGTTCCTGTCACCCTATATAGAGAAATGAATGGTCGAGGACTTGCTAGAAAGTTATTGTGTATGTTTCCCAGGTTAATCGTCTAACTTCAATAGTCTCACCAACCATTTCTGGTCCCGTCAAACAGAATGTCTCTTTATTATTGATGGACGTACGCGACATGAATTCATAAGCTAAAATCCTATTAACGTAACATGGACTACAGTATACAAAATTTGAAATTCCTTCAATATTTAAATCTTCTTAAAATATTTATACCATTTTTCAATGTGTAATTGAAAGGCTAAATATTTGAATTATTTTCAAAATAGTACAATGTCATTGCCAGTGATGATGAACATTGGTGTTGATTTTCAATGGCTGACATCAATTTCAACGTTAAATGGGAACACTTAACCGGAGAGCTTTTCAACAGGCTTGCTATTGATGTAACTTGCAAAGCATTACGGGAACTGGTTAGTCGGATAAAGGGCTTGTTTGTTTTGCCCTGTTACAGATCGGTGTTCGTCGCACAGTGAAATTGTAAATACATTGGTCACGTTGATTTCGAGCACACAGAATTACGTAATACTTGTGCACACGTGTTCTTTCAATATTTGTTTGTTAGAACACAATCGTCATTAAATTTATTTCTCCACCAATTTCATTGTATAATCAAAGGTACAAATCATTCATGAGATCTCTTTTTTTCTGTTCAAAAAGATACCAAATAATCAGATTGCCTGCGTTCACTCTAGTTGCTTCACCTTTTGAAGGGTGACATCTATGATAGAGGATCTCTGTTATACTGAAAGATTATGTCTCCTTTGTTTACCAGGCTGAGCGGTTTAGTTTTCAAAGCAAGGCTTAAACAGTCGAGTTGCCTTGAATAAGGGTTTACTGCGACGGTTTGATTCAGTGAAAGCAGTTCTGGATAAAAGATCCCTTTTCCTATCCCTCCGCATGCACATGCTCTTCTTTGAGTGCAATTTTAGTTTTGCACCGTGCACAGTCATATCTCCAATGTTTATCCACTACCTGTTGCTGGGGATATCGTAGAATATCTACTTCTCATTTCTGGTAACCATTTTGTTGTTCCTGTCGAAATGAAATGGAAGTTATGGCGTTTACCATACCATACCATACCACGAATTTCGCCCATAAGGGCTGGCATTTTTGGAGACGTTTCTGTTTCTATGTTGCCCACCGAACGCTTTCGACCACGCCAAAGATCAAAAAAATGTAATACAATATGCAGTTTCCTATCTTTTCTAATGCAAGTTTTAAAATCCCTATTGCTGTATAATAAATTCTTAATCTAATAAATAACTTTAATAAATATTCTAGAGGAAAATTGTCGCAAGGGTGAATAAAACCAGTTACATTTCTACATAAATGATACATATCTTTACCTACATGGGTGCGAGGTAAAATAGAATGTGCATTTGAAAAAAGATGTTTTCTAAAGTAAATAAATAATTGTAAAAGGATTCGTCTGGATTGATGTAATGTCTCCCTGATAACGGTCCCAGAGGGTAAATTACCAGAGCCACGGTTTCGTGGGGCCGTCTTTGCGTGTGAATCGGAATTTTATTTAGTAATGTTAATTTTCGATACCTTGAGTCTCTATACTGAACGGAACGATCTAGAGGGAAACTTTCCAGAATACACGGTTTCGTAGATCGCCCGTTTTGCCTCACCACATCCAGATTCGTCGTATTGGATAAAATGAAATGGACAACTTACCAAGATCGATGTAAAATAATATACGATAAGATAATTTGATTTTGTATCGTTAATCGCTGGTGTCGTCTAGAAATCTGGAAGTCAAAGAAGAGGTGAGAAAACTGCCACTTGCACTACGCGTTCGCGATCGGCCTTTATTACGGTGTTACGAGACGAATTCAAAACTATTGCAAAACGAACACAAAGGTATTTCAAAAATCGACGCGACACGGAAAAAGAAAGAAAAATAATTAATATACGAACGATATAAAAACGAAAGAGAAAAGATAGAAATTGAAAAGTATGAAATGAATTTAACGTATCCGTATGAGTCCTTGTCACCATACCGCGAACCGAAACACTCTCGACACTCTGCCTTGAAGAGGACTTGCCGAGCAATCTAATTACGCGATTTTGCTAACAACTCTATCTCTACGCGAACACGGGCTCCCCGTCACGCACCTTGCGATTTTTCGACGAAGAGTGATTTGCCTCAGTCAAGCGATCGTGTCTCAGGGTTCGACCCGCGATCAAGGGCCTAAAGTGAGGTATTGGGCTAGTTGGCCGCTCTTCCTAGTTCTCTCATCCATTCTTGACTTTTCCTTCTACCTTCGTCTAAGGTTGTCCATTTCTTTCTACCTCTCTAACGCCACGCGGATTTCATGCGTCGCAATTCTAAAGTTTCTGGAATATTCGAAATCTATTACAACTTAATTTCTAATACTTACAAGTCTCCATTCTTAAGAAATCTAAAAAAATGTACTCCTTCCCCTCCTTGATTCCCCAGAAAATTCCCGGTTTATGACGGTCTGAAATGCCATAAACTCTTGCTTTTTGGAGCATTCTGACAAAGAAGTTTCCACAATATAGGCTATGTACGTAAATCCACAGTACAAACTTGTCGCGCACTCAGGACTGTTCACGGTCGAAAACGAAGATTGCCGAATGGACCTTTAAATGGGTTGTATCACTTTGTCTCTCCCTACAAGTAGTTTCTCTCTCAGAGTGTCACCTCTTATTATACCTACTCTTTGACCACGCGCCTTCGGGGATGGGTTGGCAGCCCCGCGCATTTTTTGCATTTTACATTGTTTCATACATGTGCCATACTTTTGTTTCTGTTTTTTCGCCATACTTTTTGCTTGAGTCTGTGTGTGTGTATCCCCTTTTAGTCGCCTCTTACGACAGGCAGGGGATACCGTGGCCGTATTCTAATCCCCCCGAGCCACAGGGGTCTATGGCGTTTACCTAATTCGATTTTTTTCCACTCGTTTAGATCGTTTGCTGTGCACTCCAAACTTTTTCCTCATGGTACCTGATCGTAGATTATTCAGTATAGTTCGTGGAGACGAGATGGAGGCGTTTTCGATGGTAACAACAATGCGGTTGATTGGACAGGAAGCATTCGCAAGTCCTTCAGAGCTGAAGGTTCTCGTTATCGGTCGCGGTCATTATCGAAGAAGAAAATGGGAACACGAGACAAGTGAAAATGTCGGAAGTTCCGCTGGGCGCTGAATTTCTATGGATCGGACGAGGAACTTTCGCTTTCGAAACTTCCGCAATTTCGCGAGAACTGATTAATCCCTTTGGTTTGGTGGAGTTGGTGGAAGGATGGTTCCAATAGCGAGGAAAACGAATTGCGAACGCGCACTTACGTAGCGTGCACTTACGCAGAGAAATCCAAAAACAAGTGTAATTTATAGCGAACAGTCGTTTTATAAAATGTAAGAAATTCCAATCGGCAAACATCCAACTGGGGACGTCCAGCAAGGAGTCGCTGGCTAAAAGTAAACACTTAACAGTTTCTTATCACTTATACAAGAGATAGTGCCCATGAGGGAAATATAGGATAGTACCTCCATGTTGTGTCGCTATTCTCTATAGATATTCTCTAGTCGACTATTAAGTCGTTAACGAGTTTGGAAATTCCTAAATTATTAGTAAGTACGTTACATCCCTTCCAAGTAGCTGATAAATATTTGCTGGCAAATGAGTTTATGATCTTAGGCTTAGGCAAGCTGTAAAGTTCACGACTGAGATTCATTGTATAATTAAAGATTATCAAAAGGAGTTAAAGCCCTGATTTATAAAACAATAGCGTATTTACTTTATAGATACACTAAATCCTCAGAATTGTATTCCAAGTTCATCCGGATTGCACTTTAATAAAATTGCAATGAATTCGTTAAATTGAGAGTGAAGCTACAAATTGAAGAGAAATCGATTGTCCACAGCTGTGATCATGTTGAGGATGGTCTTAGAGGGTGGGTTATAGGGGTGGAAGAAAACAAGTTCTTCTGCTTGGTGTGCCGGTCACGCCGCCCTTTCAACAGGCAATGCCCATTTCATGTCCGATAGAATACGGAATTATTCCGCTGGCTGGAAAAGTGGCGAGGAATCTTAAACACTCTTCGGGCCACCGAGAAAGTACATTTTGCACTGACCTTTGTCAACATGCTATTACACTTTCCGTTAAGTGGAATTCAAAAAAAAAAACATTATGAGAGACAAATATTCCTTTTCATTATTATTTTACCACCTTCGAGCCCGGACGAGGTATGGGGTATATTCTCGCCCTTCCGGTTTGGGTAAATTTACCCAGGTGGGTCCGAACGTGTTAAATCTCATTTATTTTACGGTACTTACACATTTACTTACTTTTAACAAAAGAAACCTTCTGGAACAAGAAATACTACCGAAAAAGTCAAACTTTTAATTCAACAAAGGTAAATAAAGTTTATCTTCAGAAATTAGTATGAACACCCTGTATAATTGTTCGACGACTACGTGCAAGAGGAAAAAGGTTTCACAGTTAATAATTCTACGTTCGTTACACGCGAAGCACGCTTAATTGCACGTGCGTCTACGATGCGAACAGATGTCGCACGTTTCTCTCACTCTTTCACGCACCCTCTTTCACTCGTTCCCTCTCATTCCCTCTTTACATCTATATTTTTACATGCTAACTGACTCGCCTTTGGCGACCAGCCAATACTAAACGATCGGTTACTCTCTGTTGAATATTGGCTTCCCTTTCGAAATTGTATCAGCCCTGTAACGATTCCTGCTTCCGTTCGTCTCTCTACAAACTGAGAGGATTTAAGCGCCGTTTTATGAATCGTATCGAGCAGGAAACGTTGTTAAGCTCGTACGAGAACTCATGGATGTTTTACATAAATACTGTATGTTAATCTTGCGACTAAAACTATTAAGTGTTTCAAATCGTGAACGTTGTGTCCTTCTTTTTTTGCATCTTAAAACCTGGTACAGTAGACTTTTGTTATAATGCCAGTATAGATGGTGACGATATCACGAGAGCAAATTGAATAAAAAATGAAAATATTCAGAGATTTAGAATTCTTGTACAATTCTTTTACTATTGATTTCACAAGAACACAACGCACGATTTTGAAACTGCTGGCGAATGGCTCGCTGTGTTAAATTTAAAAGGCTCTCATGCAACGCTACCTCGATCTAAAAAGGCGAATAAAAAAAATATGTCAGATCTATAACGTAACTGTCTGTTTCATGTTCGAAGAATACGAGAACACGAATGACATTTTCTTTGTGCTATGTTTCCGAGATATTGATTAAACAGACAGAAGAGATAAAAGAAAATTTGAATCATTCTTTCAATCTATCAAATAGATTCATTCTTTGTATCACTTTCATATCCTAAACGAAATTCATCTTTCATTGGAAAATTAATAAAAAATTATTTGAGATTTAAAAAACAAATTATTTCAAACTTTCCAGTGTAATAAGGTCAATTATTTAATTATAATCTCATTATGATAAGCTAAAGTTAACACATTCGCACTTGGAATTCTTTTCACCTGTTCAAAATTAAAATTAAAATAGAATTTAAATTTCAAACACGAGTAATATTACGTTTGTAAATGGGAGGAATATTAAATTAACTCTCGCACGGTGGAGCCAGGTCTCCGTTGACCCTAAGTATGATTCTTTTTTATTTTCATATTTCAATCTGTGAAGGCTTTTTAATTTAAGAATTTGAGCTCCTGCCAGGCAAACCACGTTTCTGTATGTATACTTTGACACGTTGACAGTGGGGGGTCGCTGGTGACCTGTGTGCTAATGTACAGGAGACACTCGTTATATTGTCAACGAGAGGACTGAAGGAGCTTTCAAGCTCTCATTTGAAGGGGGCAGGGGATAGAAGTATATCATTTTCATAGATTAATATGCTTTTTAAAATCCATTAGAAAGTCAAATTGCTCATGTGGCAACATAACAAGGGTCTTCTGTACTGTAAAAGAGGAAAATTTGGAGTAGTGTCACGATTTAATAAATACTTTGATTAGCTGCGAAAGCTTATGTTATGGCGAGTAACCCTGCAATCTGCTTCTTTTATTATAAGCCTCTGTTTTCTTCTTCGCTTTCTGCATAAAACTTCGTGATTTGTTGCCTGGCAGCTTTGGTGATGGAACCCCTGCAAGGGTTCGGATCCCAGTTAACACCAGGGCAACCCATAGATTCGAAACACGTCACCAGACGGTTGGTGTTGAATGGACAACACTGGACGACTGCCCAAACACAAGCTGGAGGACTTTGTACAGGTGGTCGTCGAGTGGCTGCTGCTGGGAAATTTGGCACCTCTACTCCACGACGATAGGGATTAACTCCCTGCAACAAGAGATGAATCTCCATTAGCAATTTTTATGATTCTTGAATTTTCATTCACCCCTTTCGTAATTCAAGAGAATTTAAATTCATTAATTTCAAGGATTAACTCTTTGCACTTCAAAGGCTCACCATTTCCATTTGATTTAAGGAGGTACTTATTGATTTAATTAGGATCCTTCTGAGAGATGGACCCGAAAGGTACTCGGTAATTAGTAATTATTAGGACTCATTGTCAGTCATGATCTTGAGTCATCAATTAGATTACGTTTTGCCCAACTCAGATACTCCACTGCCCCAACAGAATACCCTGATGCCCGCCCACTCCTAAAGAAAATGGTTCTGACACTACATCTCCTTTTCAATATAAGAAGATACCCATCAGATTCAAGCCATCACTCGTTGCTCGCTTGAATGGTTAAATGAAATGAACCGCGGGTAGAACTCGTACCAATGCTGTCCATACGAGGCAGGGGCTTGTGCGTTAAGGGGTTAAGGAGGATCGGTTGAATAGACAAGTGGAAGTAGCTCACCGGAAAATCGATATCGCCGTCGAAACCCGTTCTCGATGACAGGCGAGGCGAGGAGGAAGACTGTGCCGGGTGAACTATTATTCTTGCGCTCACGGGAAGTGCGTTCAGTCTGGCCTCTTCCTGTCGTCTCCGTTGCTCGTGTTCCCTTCCCTGCTTCGCTCTACGAACAACAGCATTACATTATATCGCAGCGATCCGAAAGAGGAAGCTCATTGTGCCCTGCCTAGGTGTTTGTTTTATTAACACTGCTTCGCAACGATGCGCTAACTCGCGGCCTTAGCGCCCGCTAAATTGCGACCCCACCGTCCCTCTATATTTATCCTTTCACCTACGACACGCCATGGATCTTCAGCGTCATAATAACGAGACCAACACTGCTCCGTCTTTACGAGCTGTTGGGTTACTAAGTTTCCGACACAGTTTCAAACAGCTTGCAACTTAGCTACCAGTGCCGTAGGCTTTCCTAAGGATAATGGGGATCTAGGATAAGCAAAAGCCCTGGTGTGGATTAATTTTAATATAAATATATTCAGAATTAAAATTTTGAAAAGTGTCGCCTAAGTCAATGAACGATCTTAGGACCCTAAATGCCTATGTCCCTTTTTGAACCACCCTGCATTTAAATAGAAATTAATGGAAAAGCTCGGTTCGTTTAGTTATAATTCAATATTAAACCACCAAATTCCATTTCATTACCTGCTATCCTCTTGCCTCCTCCTTTCAGCCTCGAGCCTCCATCTTTCTTGCTCATATCGCTGTCTGTCCTGCTCCTGCCGCTGCCTGTCTTGCTCCATGGTCCTTCTGGACTCGTTCAGGACTAAATTGGCTGGAATAAGACTCGTGTCTTGTCTCCTCCTGAGCTCCTCGAGCCTCGCGCGATCGTCGTAGCCGTGTCTCGTGTTCTCTGACCTCGTTCTTCCAGCTTGACTTCTTCTAGCCTGTTCCTCCATCAATTCTTTCCTTCTCCTGTCCGCGTCCCGTCTCGCAGCCTCCAGTCTCTTCCGTTGCTCTTCGTATCGCCTTGACTGCAACCTTCTCGCCTCTTCTTCTCGTCTCAAAGCCTCTTTCCTCAGTTGCTCCTCTTCCAGCCTTTCCCTCTCGCGGATCCTATCCTCCTCCGTCCTCCTCGATGCCTCCTTCCTTCTTCTCTCCTCCACGAAGCTTCGGGGATCAATATTCGTCGGAGCCGATGGGCCGTGATTTCTTCTTCCGTTACCCTGGCCGGGATACCTTGACCAATTATACGCCCTCGACCAGTCGTCCATTTTCTTCCTTTGATCCACGGAACTTCCGTTCCCGCTCGTCACATGCACTGGCTGATTTCGACGAATGTACTCCTGCAACTTGCGCTCCTCCTCTATCCGTCTGCGCTCTTCGTCCTGCTTCCTTCGAATTTCTTCTTCTCTCTGTCTATCTGCAGGATTAATCGGTCGATTGCGTTGCATGTATTCCTTCAGCTTCTCCTCGCGTTCCCTCTCCTGCTGCTCTCTGAATCTTCTCTCAGGATCTACATAGTAGGGTCCGCTCTCGTTGGAGGCTGCCCGCATGGCGTACAATAAGTTAGAGGGTTCGTTTCTAGCCTGTTGTCTCCTTCTCTCATCTTCTTCTTCTTGTCTTCTCTTCAGCATCCACTCCCTCCTTCTCTGCTCTAGGTGTCTTCTGTCCAACTCCTGCTGTCGTCTTCTTTCAGCTTCCCAATCACGTCTTCTCATGGCCTCCGCCTCCTGGTGCCTCCTTTCTTCATCGTAGGTGGAGGTATGAGGATAAGATTCATATCTTCTGGGAGAGGCAACCAATTCCTGCGGACGCTCTCGGTGTTCTTCAGGCGACTGCCACCTGCTGGATGTTCTTCGCGCCTCCTGCTGTAGCCGTCGCTGTCTCTCTTCTTCTTGCCTCGTTCTTTCCTGAAGAGATCTCTCATACTCCTGCTTGATCCTTTCTACCTCGGAATTAGTTCGATTCTCAACGTGACCTCGTCTTCGCGCCTCCTCGAGCCTCCTCCTCTCCTCTTCCTTCCTCCTTCGCTCGTAGTCCTGTCTTCGTCGTTGATTCTCCGTCTGTAGTTCGTCGCTCGACACTACGCCCTCGTCCTCACCGAAGCCCCAGATCTGACGCTTCGAACGACCTTCGGTCCGAAGTTGCTCATCAGCGACAGAGTCGTCGAGCCACAGTATCCTGCGACGCTGATGAGCCGGTACCAAACTGTCGGCCGACTTCGCTTCCTCCTCTTCGAAAGCTTCACGTTTAGCTATATCAGAATTAGAACCCTCTCCGGCCGTCTTCTGATCACCGCCGGTCGAGTTCTGACCATTCGACTTGCCCAAGTCCCCACGGACGGGCAATTTCTCGGGTCGCCCTTTGTCGTCGGAGTCCGAATAACGTGTCGCCTCCATGTCCCCTCTGTTCTGTTTGATCCCCTTCGTGGTGGTCTCCAACTTCTTCAGCCTCACCAGTTCATCCATCTCGTCCTCCTCCTCCTCAACCGAGGAGAAGTCGTACATGTCCAGGGAGATGGGTGTTACACCTGGCCACGTGTCCATGGCTGCTATGGGAGCCTTGTCTCTACCACCAGAGTCTATAGACCTCTTCTGCTTATATTTTGTAGCGGCCAGACCCTCGCAACCCACTTGCAACTCCGGTACACCGCCTATGCTGAACGGGTCGCTGTTCGGAGGCACCTCTGTGCTTAAATCGTCGAAAGAGTTGGATTGTTTGTAGAACATCTTCGGGCTGGTTGACTTGTAGTCCGTCGTCTTAGCCTTCCAGTCCGCTTGGCTCGTCTTCTTAGGTGTCTTACCTTTACCCTTTAGCAGGTACCTCGTCAGGGGCACATGGTTTAACGGATAGAGTCTGAGCAGGTCCAATTTGTATATCTCCATGGAGCCTGGTCCTTGATCTTGAAACGTGTCGTCGGCTATGAAAGGATCCTCCAATTCGGACAGAGCCAAGGATGGCTGCTCCGAATCCTTTGTCCCTCCCCCATCGATTTTCTGCTCCGTGAACTTTTTACGACGCTGCTTGTCTTCGACTAAAGGTGAAAAATCGTCATCGTCGCCGCCGCTGTTACCCTTGCTCTTCGAGTGCAACGAATCCTTGTCGAGGTAGTTGGTCTTGAAGGACTGCAACGGGGATGCTGTAAAGAGTTCATACGTGAGTGAGCTGAGGTGATTGCGAATCGCAGCCGGTATGATTCTGGTTTCAGATACGTGACCCAATCTTTGGGATCAGACGCCTTCTGTTGGGAAAGTGGCGGCTGGAGAAATGCTATTCTTGTATGAGGAATATGCTTTCAGTTATTCTAGACATATTTTGGTTTCTGAGAAAGCATCATAAAGCAAAAATGAAGAAATTAAAGAGTGATATAAAAAAAAGTGAAGAAAGGAAGCAACTTATGGGACCTTCAACTGGTAACACGTCTTCTGCTGCATACTGCCCATGCATCTAGTGTAACCATAACATGAAGGAATGGCAATGATCAAATCAGTGAGGTATCAAATGTCAAACGTACCGGTGCTGGTAGAGCTCGACCTTCGCGAGCCGATCGGAACTCGTTGGTAAAGCTCATGCTGCGGGGCCAAAGGGGAGTATTGATCGAGAGAAAAGCGAGAGGAGTTGAGGCTGGCTGTCCCCACCACGTTCGCGTAGAGCCAGACCGTGGCCAGAACCACTGTCACCCCTGGCTGCATTCTCCTGCAATCAAACGGATCCTCTGGTGACTTCTTTTTCTCTGGTTGGTTAAGAGACCAGCTCTGCTTTCTTATTAAAAGCGAATCCCAATCGACAACTCTGAAGAATCAATTTCTTTCTATTTTGCATAAACATATGCAAGGATTAAGTTTAAACAGCTGTAAATGTCCAAAAAACATACACAGGGTTATTTTTAAAAAAGCTTTCTCTATATCGATGGTGTTTTTCAGTGACAAACTGATTTCTATGAAACTTTGTCCACAACCTCCCTGGGGTACTAAAAAGTCCGACATTTTGATCCCTTCGATTCCCTTCTTCTTCGCCCTTTCAAAAGTGCAGTATTTCTCGGGAATGGTTGAAACAATTTGCATGAAATATTGTACATAAGTTCTTTGAAGCACAGCAACCAAGGAACCCATGTGTAAAGTTTCATGAATATTGACGCAGCCATTCTCCAGGAACACCGAACCACCAATATCTGGGAAGATGGAGGAAAATCGTTTCTTAGTGGTTACCTAAGCTATAAAAGGAAAGTGTCTGCAAAATTTCAGCTTCATAGATTCAGCGGTTTATACGTTGGACGAGCTGCGTTTAGGTTATGTGTAACATACCGATTAGGTTAGGTTAGGTGGCCCTGTATCGCATTACACTTTCTATGTTAATGGTGAGGAAGAAAAAAAAAAAGAAATGTGGAGTGCTTCAGAAGACAGTTATGCAGGAATTGAATTAGGAAATTCTTCCACATCCGACCTAACCTTATCAGACTATAATTTTAATAATCTTCAAGGAATTTCCAGCAACAACAATTGTTCAGTTTCAAATTTAAATTAAAGAATTCTTCGTCTTAAAACGAAGGTCTTTTTAAAATTTTAAATTGATAAATTGCCCGGGAGTAGAACAATGCAGTCGCGTCCATGATTGATCGATTGCTTAAACCATTTTAAAAGATTAACAAAGCGACAGGGATTTATGCACCGGCCCGATAAATCCGACACCCAATCGCGAAGGGTTAAAATCCAACACTCATGCAGTTTGCACCCCCTCCTTCGACAAAGCAATCAAACTCCGTGCCACTCCGGCGATACGCGGGTAGCTGACGTCACCGATGGCACCCCAAAAAACAAGGGGTCTATCGTTTGCAAACCAGACACCATGACCTTCCCCTCGGTGGTGAATTGGAGGTTGCATACCAGGTAACGAGATCACATCCGTCGTCAGGCTGGAAAGCTGCCCTATCGATTTCGCGACACTCGATTGGCCCTCAAGAATCTCCTCAAATGTCCTCGAGGCTTCTGTTCCCGTTGCTGAAATTTCCCGTCGCTTTGTGCCTTGAAAGCGAGCCTCTTCCGTAGCCTCGTAGAAAGAGAAGCAACAATCGCTCCTCTAACCGAAAGTGCACAGAGATCAAGTGATCTTGACACACTGTCGCTGCCAGGTCGACGTCTAAACTTAACTCTGGCAATTGCAGCTCGTGTGTACACGTATGCAGAATGTCATGATCGACTTCCGGCAACTGACGTTTCGTGTCGGCTGATTCCTCGTAGCCTGGTCACATCACGGCCCAAGGAACGCGCCAAGAGGTTGTCAATTGACCCGTTTGTTGATGCAAGCATCTTGAATCGACTGCTTGGATCAAATGCGAAGGAGAAATTGTTTAGCGAGTAATTGTAAACGTTGCTTCATATTGCGCCGTGGTGGTTGAGGATATCAGGTTGTAAGAGTCCAGTGATTTAGAGGAGTCATATACTTGATGAAACCCTTCTTAGTTTGATGGTCTTTGTAGCAGAAAAAATGAAGTTGGAAGTGCTAGATGATTGATTAAAAACAATATTTCTCTAGCATGGTAAACAAGTTTCTTCGAAATTAATGACTCTGTGTGAAAAGAAACTTTACAAACCAATTTATACCCAAACTTTCGGCTTTAATACAATAATACAAAAAAGTTGATAAATATCAAATTAATGTCCTTTTTGACACGTTACTAAATTGAAGTCTATTAAATTTTTCACATCAGCAATTGACTGAAAACCAATTAACACGATTCAGATTATTAATCGTTCATCTGTAACTCAATTCAAATATTGAAATTTCAATATAATATAATTACATTAAATATAATAAAATTTGTTAATAAATAATGAACGATAATTCTTATTTATTTCATCCGGTGAGAGATACGTATAATAACGTATCAATCGATCATTTGTCCATTGAATTGAGGTAATAAAATTTTCATAAGGAAACAAAAGAAACCTTAATTTCTTGATGAATATTTTCGAAGTTGAAAGGTTCGTAGATCTTTATTAGAGACACTCCTTCAGCTGTTTGTTCGATCGCGATTAATCACTGTCACTGAAATTTTTGTCTCTCCGAAAGAAAGTTTCGACAACGTAATCCCTGTGTTGGTTGCTTCCCAGAGGATAGGATTATGTCATCAAGACGTCCAATATACGCTAATAATAGTTTCGTAAAAAGTGAAATAAAAGATCAATCAGACAATTAAAATATAAATGAAATGTTGATACATTATATCAATAAAAAAAATACTTTTTTAATATTTCAGATCGAACTACAACTTTTGTTTTATATGTTTTCGTAAAGTAAGGAATAAAATAGAAATTTCAGGATGCTAAAATTCTAAGATTTCAGAATTCAAAAATTCCACAATTCCATGTATCGATGCTGCGAAAAGTTATCACTAACCCATTTTATTTTATACCGATAAGTTAACACGAACCACTTCTTGAAGGTACATTAACGTTTTGCTAAAAGTAGATGAAATAGTTCGCGTATCTCGGATTACCGCTGCGCGAACTTCTGCTACCATCTCGGTTTCCTTTTCCTTTTGCTATTCCGCTAGCAATTATCTGACACCTTAACGGTACAGCAGCTAAGAGGCTTTAAATTTTGCTACGAGAAATAGGACTGCGAATCGAAACACGCCACTGATACAGAACAGATAAGTGCTTTCTGGAATAAGCCGATATATAATTATCACCCTACAGTACGTTTCAAAAGTATACCAACCCTTAAAATTAAACCATGCAATTAAATACATCCGATCTACGAAAAAGTTAATTTTTCCTTTAATTAAATATAACCCGATTAAAAATTTTACTTATATGTATTTAATTAGTAAAATAACGAAAATAAAATTTCATGTAATTAATATTTAATTGAACCAATCAATTTGAACGTCAATTACGTTAATTCCATGTTACTTTTATATTATTTAAAAAAATGAACGATTCAATTCCCTCAGCTTTTTTGAACTTCAAAATCAGAATGTTCGATTGAAGTTAACAAGCCAATGAAAAAAAATAGAAGAATGAGTGGCAGGCACTTCCATGGTGAAGCTAATTAACAAAGTGGTCACCGTGAAGTTTCAAACGCCAGGAAATCTTTGTCGAGCTAATTAGTTTTTTCTGCCAACGTCGAGCCCCGATCGAAAAATCACGCTCTCGTAGGTAAAACGTTGAAAAAAAAAAAAAAGAAATAGTACTAGACTCGTTACAAACGCGAATTTCTATCCTACAAATTGTCACGACCTGGGGAATTAAAGCTAACTGGCAAAAAATTTTAATCATAGATCTTCATAGTTCTCCTCTTCTATTTTCCTATAGAAATAGTTCTGTCTTTCTTTCAATTCCATTTTTCAATTCTTCAAAGTTCTATTTATACGTACAGAGTTTTGAAAATATTAGTAGTAAGATTAAACAATATTATACAATATTTCAAAGTAACTACACATGTACTACCACTTTAGTCACGGTTTAACACTTTCTTTATTTTCATCGTTTCCTCTCAATTTTAAAACTCTCCTGCCTGTTCCCTTTTCCAAAGGCAACTACTCTCAACAGCACACTCAACTCTGTAACAATTCTAACAAAATCTTAAAACTCTCCTGCTCTTTCCGTTCCTCAAAGGCAACTACTTCAACAATACCCTCGTCTTTCCAGAAATTCTAACAAAAATCGTCTTCCTTCGTGTTCAGATTCAGCTTACACACATTGTAAGCACAAAAAAGAAGAAAGAGATTTCACGCTATGTACATAAATTCTTAATATTTTTTTTAAAAAAGCCTCGGAAATAAATAATTTTTAAGATTCAGCAGCAAGAATATCGTGCATTCAAGATAAAAAAAAAATTATATCCTTGATCGGTGTTAGCTTGTACACTGTAACACTGGGTTTCGCGTGAAATGGTGCTCCAATATTTCAATATGTTATCTCGGAAAAGTCAAGCGGAAACGGGCTGGATCGATAAGAGCTGCGTGATAGAACTATATATTCTTCTGTGCTTTGTTTTTATTACCTATCCCCGTGAGAACTATTATTTTACTGCTTATAAACTTAAGCCCGCTCGATTTCAAATTATGAAAATACTTGGTCCATTATAAATTGTTCTATTTCAAAAAATACATTTTAATTAATTTTTCACACCTTCTACATAATAAAAAATATATATATGAAATGTTATTTGAAACCCAGAGGGAACTAAACATCTTTCAGCCTAGTAATTTACATGAGAAGGGTTAATTAATGAATATTAAATTTTCTTCAGACTAAAACTGCATTATATTTTTACGTTAACTTTACGACTGTTAGAAAACAGCAATGTATTCTAAAGTGACTGAAGATGCACTACCCAGGTTTTTATGAGTTCTGAACTTTAAACGTATACGACCCCCCAGAGTGCGTAATGTGGAAATAAGTCTGCATTGTGTCCTGCACTCTGGGGACCTCTTGGTGCCTTATTCTAATTGTCAGTGGAAACAGATTTTCAGCACACTTTGGTCGTCCTATGATAGTGTGCACTATTAATAATCTAATTTTACAGATACTCCACACAATTATAGATTATTTTTTAATATATGCACATATGTTAGTTTAATGCTTCCCTGATTTCGTTCTGGTTTTCAAATCATAAAGTATGGGTATTAATGTATGGACAGCATTTGCATTGTAATTTAGGCAAATGTTACGAGCCATATTTAATGCAAA